TTTCTGTCGACACATTAACTGAATTGTAAATCTCTATAAGATCTTCGTCGTCATATTGTTTCTGAAAATCTTCAGCTCCAACTGCTTCAGGTAGAAGGTAAAGCTGATCAGGGATCCCCGCATGAGTGTAAAACCTGGATTTGCGTACATAGTGACTGTTCCACGATTCCTTGATTTGGTCAAGTCCTTTTTTTAAGACAGGACTAAAGCAAAACCATAGACATTCAAGTTGAAGTACGTTGCTTGTGTCTAAAACCCTTTAGCTATCAAATCCTTAAAAATTCATCCACCACGAGGCCCACGAGCGACGTAACATGGCCCACCATGCTTCTATTCGCTGATTGCTGTGTGATGATCCATATTGATGAGCATTGACGTCAGAATGTGTGTCCGTACCATCTCGGCGTAAGAAACACTGGGCTGATGCCATAATCCCATTTTCTGTTCCCTATCTGTTCTAAGAATTTTAGGACAGAGTTGCATATTAGATATGCAGTCGTAAAATAGCCTGCCCACTACGCGGGGATCATTATTTGAAGGAACTATATTTAACCACAGTATTTTCCTGCTAAATCCATCTATACACCCATGGATGGGGAAACCATACGGTTTAAGTTTGTCGTAACCATCGGCATGCCAGCAATAATTTGGCCCCGGATTCATGTAAGCTCTTCTACGAAGACGGTTAGCCCGTCTCCATTTCGATCCCTCTGGATCCACTTCTTGAAGGGTGGTTTGAGCAACCAAACGAGGAACTTGCAAGCCATATTTTGACTGCAATCGTCTCCACATGGCTCTATAGCCCAACAATTTACCACTTCCATCTAGTTCTCGAACAATGCATCTTCTTACGTGGTCTTTATCAACGGTATTTCCACGTCGGTGCAATCCATAAAGCTTAAGCTTATTCAGCAAAGTACTTCTGGAGATGCGAATTCCATGATATTTTGTAATAGCTGTAGGATTGTATCATACGTGTAGTTTTAGTAAAATAGTTGCGAATGATATATTCCATAAGTCATTAAAGTAGTGTTTAGCAGCGGAAAGAAATGCCAAGTAATAGACTGCCGGCTTTTCCTTTTAATTTTGAACTTACGTTTGTTAGTATTCGAATTTTGTGCGCGTATGCTGTTATGTAAGTGTGCATCCTCGAATTTGTGCGCGTATGCTGTTATTTGTAAGTGTGCTTGTACTTGTGGGCCACTCTCGAATTTGTGCGCGTATGCTGTTATGTAAGTGTGCATCCTCGAATTTGTGCGCGTATGCTGTTATGTGTAAGTGTGCATCCTCGAATTTGTGCGCGTATGCTGTTATGTGTAAGTGTGCTTGTACTTGTGGGCCACCGTAGGAAAGTAACAAACATAGAGATCTCTAAAAAGAAACGCCGTAAACAAGAGATCAAAAAGAAAGAAGAGTGGGCCGAATTTGAAAAAAGAGTTGGACTTAAAAGGCTAGAAGGCCAAGAAAAAAAGTCCCGTGCAATGGGTAATGCCAAAGTTCCCAGTGACATATTGGTTCAACGTATGTCGTCCACAGCTTCTGGTCAATTGAAGAAGTACAAGCCGTTGGATACGAGAGACTTTGTGCCTTTTGAAGATTACGATGAACTATCAATTGATAATATAAAAGATGCTTGCGAACGCTTTTACAACGCTCCACAACACACTTGTGATATTTTAGCATCGGACAGAGGCCCATCATGTACAAAAATGGACCAAATAAAAGGCAAGAAAGTCTTTTTTGTACGTTTTTTACCACCAGAAAGTGAAAGTCAACGTGACGAAAATGTTCAAAAACAACATAAAGAAAATGCTGCTGCTGGTATGTCAAAAAGGGCAAACTTATCGCCAATGAAGATTTCATCGAGATAAACAACTTGTAATTCACGTGTTGGAATTGTTTTCCCAAAGTCCGTGTCAATTGGTGATTTACTCAAAGCTGGAAAGTTAATAAAGCCACTAAAGACGTCTACGCTAAACTTGGAGCTTTTTGATGTGTACAAATGCCAATGGGTTACTGCCCCCTCAATCAAGCTTGAGATTGATCACAAATCTTTTGCCAGTGGCGCTTAACTAAGGTAACAATGATGGCGAATGCTTGGAACGTCCGAGTGAAGAATACCAAGACATATTTAAAAAAGACTGCTTTTTAGTAGCAATAAGTGAAATTAATATTACAATGCTAAACGATATACTAACGGTACTTCTAACGGTTATTCTTACCATGATAAATCGACGTTTACAATTGACTTGTCTTTGCGAAATTGTGACTGCTTCACCAGGTACAAAAATCGTGACCTTAGCAGGAAGAACTCCCAGGAAAAACGTTTTAGAGCAGCCATAGTTCAGTATTGCAATAAAACAATGAGTTTACTATTGTCACTAGTGCTGCATTTTGTGTTTTCCTTCGGTGTAACTTGTCATGAAGGCACGCGTTTTTCAACTTCCATAAGGTTATTCTCCATTCTTCATCGTTGTTTAAAGGACTTTATTAAGGCATATTGTCGATTCCTCGTCATTGTTTAGAGGATTTTATTGTCCATTCTTGATCATTGTTTAAAGGACTTCATTAAAGTAGATAAATTGGTCATTCTTCATCATTGTTGAGGATTTCCTTGAAGTAAATTATCCATTCTTGATTATTGCTTAGAGGATTTTATTAAAGTACATTCCCTATCATTGTTTAGAGCGCTTCTAAAAGAGATAATCGAAGATATTGTCAGTTCACAATATACTTTTTGCAAATTATTGACACAAATGACCAACGTAAATAAATTACTTACAAGAACATTTTATTCAGTTCCAAAGCAGTTTAAGGGAAGTTGAATTTCAACCATAGTTATAGATTCTACTGCTGCATAGCACAACTTTCTCGTTTAAGTGAATCTTATCATCAAGAGAATGGTCAAGAACAGCTACAATATCTGTGAACCGCCATGAACAGTAATTTGATCACTTTCTTTGATTGTACAAGTCCACAACCATCATGGCAAATACAAACTACCAATCACCTGTTGCTTCTCAATCTTATTTGTGACTATATGTCGTTTAACCAAAAATGTTCGAGTCTAAATCAACATTGATTTTCACAAACGAAAAATTTGTAGAAATTTAGATATATTTAGGTCTCACACATCACATGAAATCACTGTGTCATTCACTTCAACCGACTAAAGAGTACTCTGTTAAAATGAACATTTATCTGAAGTTGGTTGCAAAGAACTCTGAGATATTTCACAAACGATTAGTTTGAACTTCTGCTCACTATTCTTCTCGAACGTACAGATGCAAATAACCCATTCCTATATAAGTTAATCTTTAAATGTGAAAAAACCTGCATAAACGTGTTGCCTTCTCATTGGTCAGTTAATTGGTGTGTCGTCAATTGTACAGGATGTATATAAAAAGAAGACCTTAAGAAATTGACGTATTGTGATAATTTCAATGCTTATCATTTATCACTGTGCTAAGCCCACAGGTGTATAAAACACTGTAAGTTACAAACATATAAAGTTAGGGCCTGTTGATATGGGGTGGGATAACCCACCTAGCCGGGATAATAACGATGCAGCGAGATCCAACCTTGTAGAGTATTTTATAAGTTTTGCATATTGTGCTCATATGGAAAGTGAGCTAGCCCGTTTAGTTGAGATCTCGGTATGAGCAAGCCGGGATCTCTGTCAAGTGGGATGAAATACAATTAGTCAGCGTAATGCACACAAATTAGTCAGCGTAGCCCAGTGAGCCGGGATAAAAACAACACTATAGAACACACGTGACACGAGTCCCATAAACAAAAATGGCGGAAAATAGTGAGCTTGCTGTTAGTGAACAGACGAAGAAAAGAGCAGGACCATTCAAATACTATGTTTGATGTGGTATTTATTCCAATACCAAAAGCATTCGCCGTCATACATAGAGAACCGCTGTCTTTCAAGAAGTATAACGTAACTGCTAATTTCTTTTCGGCGCTTAAAGCCCTTTTGTTTGGACCATTTAGATTTGGAGCAATTGATTGATGCAATATTTCGGCTAGTTCTAGAAAGGCTTCCTTGGACATTTGAAAGTTCTTTTTCCATGTCTCCTGGGGGGCTATACATACAGCATATTTTGCCACCATTGATCAGTACGGCCAGGCTTGAACCAGCAACTTTGCTTGGCACGTCGTATTTATCTTTCTTTCCATCTCTTCAGCCTCTTAAGGAAATAGCTCTGCCTTTGAAGATTAGCTCAGCAATTTGCTTCATGTTGTCGCTTTTCGTTCAATTAGTGAAACAAAATCAAACCGTACAATTTAATAAACAAAGCTGTGAGAGATATCAATTGAGTGCAAAGGAAGAGCAATAGCATGTTTTGTTCGTCATTTTGAATTATTCGCGCGTTTTAGCTGCTTGGTCCCAGTCTTCAACAAATGCCTGCTCGGTAAAATCGTATAGTTTTTGGGATGGTTTCATATGGATCAAACCGTTTTACTCCTAAAGAGAGCCTCGAAATCTTCATCACTGTATCCTCCTGTCTTCTGTCGTTTCTTCAGTGCATCTGTCTCTCATGTCTCTTGCTTAACTAGAGGAAGAGTGATCACTTTCGCAAAAGTTTGGCTATAACCAATCCTAAACAACTTAACTGTCGAGTAACAAACTAAGAACGTATCTAGTGAAGGTATGTTTGGAAAAAAAGCTCTAGTAAAACAACTCAAACATTTTATGAATTCATTGATTAACGCAAATTCTACTATTTCATGGGGTGAAGATAAGAATTAGAACATGAAATATATGAAATTGACAGTTATTATTTTGTCTGCTCAAGATGTATTTTAGTAAGGTAAGATGGCATTACTCCTCTGGGAGAAAAAGTGAGTTAGCCGAGATCCCTGATCCTCTGTTTAAAACACGCAGGAAATAAAACATTGAGCAGGGAAGAAATGCCTTGTGACAAGACATGCGAGCTTTGCCATGGTGAATAAGAAGCAAAAGATTATCTGAAAAAAAACATATTCATAAATAAATTGATTTACACCTTTATGTACCTAAAATGCGACAACAATGTTGCTTTCACGAATTATATATATTTCCATGTACATCGATTGTATGGTAGAATGTTAATAAAAATTATTTTTTATTTCTAATTCTCTAATTTTCATACGTATGAATGACGATCTACTATTTATATCACATCGATCAAAGTTACAATACAAAAAATGATCGATATTTCAATTTATTAATAGATGATATTGTGTATAATCCACTTCGACTGTTATCCACGTAACTTTTATAGCTGAGCGCAGATGCAACAGATGGCTGACATGAATCCCAAATATCATAATATTCTTGTCGAATTTCCTGTTCATCTCTGTACCAATAAATAGCAAAACGACTTATCAAATAGCTAGGATTGAAGTATTTGTGACATAACGGTATCTTTTTATATTAAATAACTAAAACAATTTCGACATGAATGTTTTTTTTCATGTTTAGCAAATAGTATTTATTTATTGCGAATTTCATTTGTATCTTTATTGATTTATGCCTGAATATCAGTACTTGGTTTTTACTTGATTTCATGAAAGATGAAAAATTTGTTATTTACCTTCCGTCAATAAAAGGAAACAAAGTACTTACTTTTCTATCCACGAGTAACCAATGTGTCTATCGCCCGAATTCTTAGCTTTTAGTTCCAATGCGACAAAACTACACAATATCAAACAACGATAATCAACGTAACAATAAATTTTAGCTACAAATTAATAAAAAAGCAAAAGTTCATCCATAACGGTGGAAGAAAAACATTTGGTAAACGACGGCAATCCACCTTTCCGACGGTAAACACGTGTGAAAAATACGAGATCAAATTACAAAATTCGGATGATCAAATGGTCGGACATATTTAAAATAGAAAGACAACAAAATAGAAAGAAGATGCTCTTCGGGAATTTGTAAGGCAGAAGATGTAGAAGTGAATAAAAACCATTTCCTGTCAAGTCAAAGGAAAGCTTGGGTATAACATGCAATATGCAGGTACAAAGTTGTAGAGAAAAATAAAAACATTTCTAACATTGTCACGGATATTACGAGTGCCGTAACAAAGTGTTGATGAGTTTCATATGCATTTGTCAAAACAAGCTTAAGAAGACAAAGAGCATGCCAAAATATATGATTGACAATTCGCTAAACGCATATACAAGCACCAATTTCAGAGATCGCTCCGTCACAAATTAATTGAGAATAAATCTGAGCATGCGTAGTCAACCCCACCAGCTCCACAAGTTCATGGTCATGGCAACGACCAACTATATGTTCTAGAGCCGATTGTGGAATGATTAGCTCGCTCAGTCACAAATTTTCAGATCAATCATCTGCGCATGCGCAGTGAGTTTAAGCACGCACAGTCAACTTGACTAGCTGCCCAAGTTCATGGTCATGGCAACGACCGACTGCATCTACTAGCACCGATTTTGAAGTAAATACCACGCTTAGTAACAATTTAATAGAGAAATCATCTGCGCATGCGCTCGACCATGCGCAGTCAACTCGAGTAATTGTTCATAGTCATGACAACGACCAACTAGATGCACTTGCCCTACTTTCGTGGCAATTAGCTCACTTAGTCGCAAATTATGGAAGAAATCCATAATTTTTAAAAATATAACATTTAATAGGCCAAGCCATTTATATCGTCTAAATTGAGCCTTTATGTCATAAAATTTTAATTCATTTTGGATAGTAAATTTCCTTTATCTTACAATATTTTCATGATTCAATCTAGAAAGTAACTTCACTTCTCGAGTAATTTTGCGATTAAACAGTACACCTTTCGTATTCAAAGGACTTCTTGTCATGGCATAGAGACAGCCGTCCAATTTATTACGTAAATGCATTTACGACCATTTGATTGTCCGAATTTTGTGATTTGATCTCGTATTTTTGACACGCGTGTCTACTGTCGGAAAGGTGGATTGAAGATTGAGGTAATGTACAATGTAGACGTTCAACTGTAGTTAAAGTTATATTCTCGTGTAATAATAGAAATGTTCTTCAACATTTGCTCAAAGTGATATGGGGTTTAAAGACATCGCCTTAACAAAAAATACATCATCACGAACACAACAAGATATCATAAATTATTTATTTACCTTTGATATTTCATTAATGATGTTTCTTTGGGTTCAGTAATTTCAACACCATAGTATTCTTTCATACTGGGAAAAACGTCCTATACATAAGAGATATCTCATATGTCTCAATACTGATGATTCATGGCTATAAGGGGAGTACAGAATTGCTCTAAGCACTTCATTGAAGATACTTATCAAACAATGATTGCAATGTTAGACTGCAATTTTACATGTTTAAATTTATAAAAATTTACATTTACAACAGAGCTCATTTGTACAAACGGCAGCTTACTTTATGACTTATTGGTAACTCGCACATATCGGATTTCTGGTGAAATTTTTATTCTTCAAATGTTTGGTAACAACAAATCTCCTTAAACATCTGGTATAATTCTTTCCACATACGTGTATCACACGTTATTTTGTTTTCCCCATTAACCATAACAAATAATAATTTACCCCAAAAAGAATTCCACGCTTGTAAGAATATGAATCCTTCTTATTTTGAAAGACATAAAAGTCTGATGATGAACTTGAATCAGAATCTGAACTTAGTTCTTCTTGGCTCGATGAACGATGTAAAGTTGCACGTTTCGCACGATGTTCTTCAGCACTTTCACTCCAAGCTGCGCGCACTACAAAAGGACTGGGTTCCATTTCTAAAGCAGGTCTGAAAAAGTGGTAGAACAATGATAGACATCACAAAGATTGTAAATGATAAAAAATAACACAAGTGATGTTATTATTGTAATTTTGACAGATACTTGTTTCGTCGACTTTGTCAATTCATTTAAATAAAGTTGCAGTACAGTTACAGGAAATATATTTTCAGTTAAATCGAGAAAAAAACATGATAATAGAAATTTACCTGTATGTCGTATGAAGATTAAATGAGAACAGAAAATTGAATAAAGACAACTCATTCGGTTGATAATAATCATCAAACAAATCATTACAATCTGTTTTATCCAATTCATCTTTTTCAGGAAGATTCTTAGGAGCACGGTTTTTCACTTGTGTAAGAAAGACAAACCAAGCAAATTAAAGACGCTTCAGCAGAGTAAAAGACAACAATATTGTTAAAATGCAGTAGGCACAGATTTTAAATATAACTATCTATAAACTAATAGCTAGCTATCTCTTAAAAGTACAAATTGCAGAAATTCATACAAAAAGTTCTATAGATATCGCAAAAGCTAATATGTTATTAGTACTGTAAACAATTCATGGCGTTGACAGACAGGTAGCGACTTGCAACATCTTTATGTTGAATAAGACGTCATAATGCGTATGCAAGTTCTAATCTCGTCCAAGTCACATGTTTTTTATGTGCGTAAAAAAGACCGTGTCATGATTCATATTATCATCAAACGTATGAGATACGAGATTTTTCTGCGTTGACCGAAGTCAAAACTCAAAAACAAGTTTACAACAAGGATGCGCGCAAAACAATAAAAGAAATCATTTAAGATTATTCAAAAGAGAAAACTGCAAATCTTCTACAAAATAGCAAATAGCTTTTTACTATATAAAGTGTTTTTGATACACCAAAATTGTCCAGGCATATATTATCAGCCGTGTTTAATAAATGTCAGCACAATTTTTTCTATCATGTAAAAATTAATGTACTTACCTAGAAGATATGGAAATGGCAATGTACTCACAGTTTCGTCATCAAACCATTTTGTATAACTAAAATATATTTTAAACTGATTGAAAAATATGTGAAGGCTCACATGATCTACCTATAACGCGGGGGGGAGACGTTTTTCATTTACATTTTTATTCATTGTAAGAATATTCCATTACAAACATAAGTTATAAGATTAAATATTTACACCGAAATAATTACCCATTTTCACCGTACCTTCTAGCAGCTTCGTTTTGATGGTCAGTATTTTGATTTGATAAATGATGGAAATGATAATCGTTTGGATATTCCCACAAAGGAAGATGATTTTCTTGAGGAATAAACTTTCCAAGAAAAAGATTTATTGCCTGTTGCTTTTCAGAATCTTTAAAGTTGAAAGCAAAGCATTTAGAGTTGTAAGCATTTTCTTGTAACGAAAGGAATTATTTTTAAATCTTCGTATAGATCGATTCATAAACAAAATGAAAAAAAAAATTATTGAAAAGCATTTAACAGTCAACAAATTCATATCAAGTTTAAAATTTATATTTATCTAATAAAACTACTTTAAAAAAGATGATAAAGACATGAAAACCAAGTGTTATCACAACTGCATCACTATACCACATTAGCAAAGGTTTCAAAGTGTGCAAATTGAAGGAAAGAATTTAGGAGGATGCGAATAAGTTTCTCGGTCCTTCTTAACCGAAAGAAAAGCAGCCATCGGTAGAAAGTAAGGTCGCCGACATGTTTAGAAACCTCTGCATTTAGTGCAGTGATTTTATCTGGTGAAAACAGCACATTTACTGTGCACAGACACAACACAAACACACGTAAACTATGCTGCGCAACGTCCATATATTTTGAAGTCATTTATTCCCCTCTTTTTGATAAATCATTTATTCAATCACACAATGTTGCAACTCACAAGAAACTCGAAAGACGATTGAGAAATTGAGATAGTTTATACCTGTGAATGCACCACTGTAATATCGACGAACTGTCTGATATATGTCGCGTGAATGTGACGTCCACGGCGCAGATTTTAAATATGTGTTGATTCTATGAAAGAATATTGGGTACATTAAATGATGGGACAATTGATGATTTTTCTGCAGTCGACATTGATTCCTCGTGCATTGGGAAAAATATTTAATCAATAGCATGAAAAAAGTATTTTCTTTATCCTTCACCTGTGTACTAATTGCGATCCTCCATATTGTACAGCTAAAGTATCACCATGATCATCATAAAGATCTTCCAACAACCTAAGAATAAGTAGAAAAAACTTTATTAAAAGTTGAATGTTGTACATAATGCTCTTTGAAGTTTATCATGACAGATTTAGTAATAAATGATATGTAGTTACGAACACTGCACACCATTGAGGAATTAAAAAACAAAATGAACTTACCTCACAGCATCACATTCAAAGTTAACCACAGGTTTATCAATAACGCCCAACGTGTAAAGCTAAAGACATTTGAGGAAGTATAAAATGAAGTATTACACAAGAACAGAAAACCGTTTGCAACGAAAAACTGAGGTACTTTAAAATAGTTTCAGCTTAAAAAAGGGTGAACTTACAAGTTATCGATACAAAACAAATAAAATAAAAAATTTCAGTGGTGATAAGGGTTACAAAGTGTTTTATTTTTTCAACTCATTTGCTCTAAGCAATTTTTCTACCTGCAATCCAAGAATGTGCTTTCCAACCACAAACTGAGCAATGTTCGTTCGATCAAGACAGTCGACGCAATTTACTCTCACAATCCCAGTCTTGACAGAAAAAATGCCTTCTTAGTGAGCTTTCTTTTACAAAACTTTTACACATCATTTTTGGACTAAAAATTCTTAATGACATGTTTTGTTAAAATAATCCTATCAACTCGTTTGATTTTAGTTACTAAATAGAGACATTTATAAACAGCTTATGAACTTATAGTTCCTGGGAAAAAAATAGTGATGGCAAGAAAATAAAAAACTCGATCACTAATTCGTACATAAAATATATTAATTATCATAAAAAATGGATTCAAATACCTGTACTCGACCAAATGTTGTCCATTTTTATGACCACCAACTTTAAGCCATCTATCAAGATTGTAAAAAATACATGTTTGCCAACCTGAATGGTTCAATGATTGAGACAAGCAGATAGAAATAAGTTTCAGCTAAGGATTTAAATACTCACTTCTCAACAAAAGCACGTTGATTTATAAAAAGAATTGTTGTCATAAGCATTTTACAAAATCGTTTTGAGAAAGACATTGTGATTGTACGTAATTATACAATTAGTTGTGTCTACATGCAACGTAAGTGCAAAAGTCCCAGTCAGAGATAGTACAGCAATTGTTTTAGCCTATTTGTGGTACAGTCACAAATTATTGATGGAGAACAAGAAACAGTTTTTTAGGAGGTGGGAGAGGGGCATAACAGTTGACTAAGAGCTTATAGAATTTCCAATGTTTGGTTTTATTACCTTTCGTGAGGTCGAATTTCATTAGCATAGAGATTTGGACCATTATGGAAAAATCCCACTAACTGGACAAACTGAAAATACAGAAAATATAGAAAACCTATTGACCAAAATAGTAGTTACAACAAAAAATGGAGTATAAAAATAATACAATACTGTTTGTCATTTCCACGAGATTTTGACATCTTGAAGGATACGTAATTCTACAAAACATAAATTATAGTAGCTATATACCTGTTCTGCAAATTGCTCCAATTTTTCTATAATATTCACATTCTTGCTGAAAGAAAACGATTTTGATTTTTTATTTTACGAATAAAATTACATCCTTAAACATTAAATTGTTCACTTTCTGTCATAACATAAAGTTGCTCGAATCGTAGAAAGCTTTAAATCTAATTTTTTAAGTTGATTTTCAAGTAAAGTCATACTGGGGGAGCGGAAAATCGTTCAAAGTTGATCAACTTTTGCTAAATAAAATCATTTATGCAAGGCACACAATTTACAAATGGAGAATGAGTGTTCTACACTTCTGGGACTAGGGACCGACAAGTGTCTTTTTGGATAGAAAAAGCACACAATCTAAGCTGGAACATTTCTGGTCATATTTTACATAAGACGTGGAGTTCGCCCACCCCCCTCTCCAATGTGTGTTCTTATTGCGTATGTACAATTACAGGCTGCCCAAATAGAGACGCGTATTCATATAATGAACCTAACTGTACTTTTTAGAATATCTTGCAATATCAAACCAAATGTATTTGATTTTGTGTCGAGGAGAAAGAAACTGATTAAGATAATCGACAATCTGGGTATATTCTTCGCCCAAAATTTGTTCGTGTCTTTTTCTTTCTTTTTTCTATAAAATGTATGCATGAAGGGTGAAACTATAACTGAATGTACATATGGAAGAGATTTTAGTGCCAGCCTTTCGTTTAAAAACGTTATGGTCGACTAAGCAAAATATCACATACTATCGTGTGAGCGATTGAAACAAGTTCTTCATATTAATTTTCTGCACATATATATTACTAAGTATTTTTCCAAATATATAATTACTTTGACAAGATTGAAGACAATAACTGGTGATCCAAATCTTTGCAAAATGCTGTTGAAATGCTGTGCTGCAGCTGAGACGAACGGATCAGATCTATCAACTGCAAATGTAACAAAATTACACTCAAAAAAAAATATTTATTTTTCGGCTAAACACATATTTTTTAACTAAGTAAACAAAATTCAAAAAATTTCTAAAAAATTATTTGTCACTTTAATACCTTGAATTTGAGGTTTAGGGACTACGCCATGTTGTAGCTCCTGATGAAAGAAAAATGAGAATAAGTATGGAAGAGATAGGAGCAACAATAGTATTTGCTGGTGATCGATTTATCAAATGAACATCAGCTACTTTGACAAATGACATTCTAATGGAAAAAATTCAACCGCCAAATTATTTAGCTGTTGTTACGTGCGTGGTCCCGAAAGAATAAATATTAATTTTGGTTCTATTTCCACACGCAACAAAGATAGTGTGAGCCAGTTATATTCCTCAAACAATTTATTTATCAACGCGTAATTATTAAAGTAGATAAGTGTCTTAACAATAATATTAAAGGTATGAGTAAAACATATCTCTCCTCTGTCTAAGTACAACCGCGAGTCTTTATTCTTGAGCGTTCGTGAGTTTACGCATGCAAGCAAGCTTCTAGCGCATGTAAGCAAGCTTCTAGCGCACAAGCAAGCTTCTAGCGCATGCAAGCAAGCTTCTAGCGCATGTAAGCAAGCTTCTAGCGCATGCAAGCAAGCTTCTAGCGCATGCAAGCAAGCTTCTAGCGCATGTAAGCAAGCTTCTAGCGCATGTAAGCAAGCTTCTAGATTATGTCCTATTTGTAATGACATTGCAAAATGCATATTAAAGATAAAATATAAAATTATGAAATGTTTAGTAATATAATATAATAATAGTTTATAAATGATAATACATGATAGTAGTTGCCATCATGTAACAATGTGCAGTCATTGATAGAACCAACAATTTAAGCTTTCATGTTTTGTAAAATTTCCTACCTGCGACCAAAATAATGGTACGGAGCCACGAAGCTGCACAAAGGATGTATAACGTCCACTCTTGAATGATAAAGTGGAAGCATCGTGAACAATTTGTTCAGTTTCAACATCATTTGCCACAAAACCCTATGGAGAAAAACACGAATATTTTAAATACCACAAAAAATAGAAGGAAAACAGCAAACTGAAAGAACACACAAGACAAACATAAAACGCAGTGCAAGCATGTATAATTGAACATCGATTTCACAAGAACTGCATATTCAACAACAAAACTGAACGCGATATATCTGTCTTGAGATGGCAATAGTCTATTGAACAATATGAATAATCCTTCTCTGAGGAGGAACGTGTCAGTTGTGAATGAGACTTTTCAGTAAGAGAAAAAAATAATATCGATTAATTAATACTATTATGACATTAAAATTATAAGACAAAATGAAAACATTGCATTAACATGCCTTGAGTTATGTTCGTTTGCGTTAAAAATTATGCGCCCCATGAAAAGAGCTCCTTGTTTCAATAAACCAACATACCAGCTGGTTTGATCCACGTTTTAGAAACCTCGTTCCAGCATACTCGTTGGATCGTCGTGCAATTAATGTCAGATAAATAGGTCGACCATAAACATTGATATCTTATACTAAGATAAGAAGTTGTTTCAACACAGATTGAAAACGAGTTACGTTAACAATAACGCTAGACTTCATTTCTACGTATAATTGCCTCATTGGTAATTTTAGATGTAACGAAAAAGATACTACATTGGCCAACAAAACCATGAGATACGTAGAGCAACCAATCGGAATGCAATATATTTTCCACATCTTTGATCATGTGTTTATTCCAGATAAATTTTGTGCAAGGTATTCCACGTCTGTTCACCATATGATAGTATTGGGCTCGTTTCTCCCATGCTTTTTCCTCTTTAAAACCTTGAGAAACATTGATAAAATTTATAGATTGGAAGTTTGAATAAGATGTTCCGTAGTAGGAGTTGCATTTCTATTACATGTTTTAACATTACCAGTGGATTTATCATTGGAAAAGCGTCTACAACCAGAGCAGTCCAAATTAAGAAGAAGCATGTTATATTGTAAAGTTTGCGTCACATCGTAGGTATAGCTAAAACAGAAAAAGACATGTTCTCATTCCCACTTATCGAGTGTGACACAAAATTGCGTTTACACTAATCAATGGTAAACTTATTTCTATAACGATGGCAAGATTTTTCTTAATAAAAGTATTTCAAATCATTGGAATAAAAATAACGTAATCGACTAAATATGAGATGATTTTGAAGCTTCACTTGGTTAGTGAGAATGAGATTTTAGAATACAAACGTATGGCTTTGAACTAGAGCAAACACAGTCTTTTCTAGACAAAGATACACGTATTGAATAGCATGTTCACAGTACGGTAATGTATTGCAAAACTAGAAGTTAGAACAGCAATCTTTCAGCTGTTTTTCCAATGATATTTATATGTAAAAAAGGCTGTCTTTTCAATTTTTTCACATCAAATTAGAACTTTTTTTGCGATTTGTAGGTAACTTTTATAAATAAGTACATAGTGATAATTTATTTAAAACACACGATAAAAAAGCAATGAACATTTACATTAAACAAGCTCAAATTTCCCATACAGAAAGTAAAATGAACAAGTTTCCAAGTATGGTTAGAATGAGGAAAATTCTGACAGAATTTTTAATACAAATATCAGATTAAATTTCAAAAATTAATTACCAGTAAGGGTTCTACAAAGATAATAACTTAAGCCCGTTTCAAACGTCGCATGTTACATGCGCCGAATGCATTAAAAACAATAGAAACAACAAACAAACAAACAACATTTGTATACCGGTCAGTATTAATCCCCGCCAGGGGGGGGGTTGACCGGTCCATGAACTTTTTCTATTAAAAACAATAGAAAATGATATAAAATTCCTCATTATCTTTTGTTTCAAATGCATTCGGCTCATGTAAAATGCGACGTTTGAAACAGGCCTTAAACTCACCTAAAATAAAAGTTACTTGACAAATCAACATTTTGAAATGCTTTTAGGTACCTATAAGAGAGAAATTAGGTACATTTTAAACCTAAATAAAACTTCTTGTTGTTTTTTTACTTTGAATGAATGTAACAAAGCCTTTGCAAAGAAATATCTTAGTTCCAAGGTTTTGTAGAGCAACTAACTTGGATTCAGAAGGATGGCGATGTTTTGATCTCACTGTTTCATTAGGAATTGGAACCATACATGTATCCATGATCTTATACACAGTATGTCCACCAATTTGAGCAACTCTATGCAAAAGCATTTTATTGAGTCAATTTGTTCTGAAAACTGAAGTTGAAATATACAGCTAAAAATGTTTTTCGGAAAAAATATAAAGGGGGAGTTATTGCCCACCCCTCATGTCTGCCACTGAATATGCATACATATGCATGGTCAATAACATTTGAAATATTGGCAATGCCAATTTGGTATTCATATCCAGGTTGAGCAACTTCTCTGATCTTTTAAAATCTTGTAAGATCTCGGCTAAGCCTTGGCAAGAACTTTTCTTGTCAAGATCTTGAAAAATTGATGCTATGATTTTAGCATGAACTTGCCGAGATGCAGCCAAGATTTCTTGCATGAATCATTTTTGATATTTTAGCATGATCTTGTTAAGATTGTGTTTGTTAAGATCATGTTCAGCACGATCCAAGATCTACTTAAAATTTTATTTTCCATCATCACAGTTTATATTAATAAGGTCATGATTTAAATTTTCAGTAATGATCAAGTTTTGCAAGAACAAGCACCATGCATAATGTGAATTAGGCCAAAAATATTGATAGTTTAAGTGTAGGAATGCTTTTGGAGCACACACTAATGTACACCGGCAAGATTTTTCACTTTGTACACTTCTTCAATCATACTATTTTATATCAAAATTGCATGTTTAATGCAAAGTCATGTGATATTTTTTCATATAAAAACATAATCCTGTTGACATCTTGGATCATTGTTCTCACCAGTTAAGATGACTGGTTTTATTGTGAAAGGAAATAATCTTTGTACATAAAGTACAAATATAGTTTAAGTTTTCAATCTGCTTATTGATCATGACCATGATTTAAGTAAGAATTGCTAATTTGTTGAAAAACATTTAATTAAACTTTGTAGAGCAAAAGAAATTTGGTAAAATTATGCATAAAAACTTGCAAGATCTTCGTGGGTTCATTGTATGATCTTGGAAAGATCATGATAAGATCTTGTAAGATCTTGTAAGATCCTGTAAGATCTTGTAAGATCCTGTAAGATCTTATCCAAGATGTTCAACCTGGGTAAGTAGGTAGGAAACTATGTAAACAAAACTTATACAAAGACTTTTTCTTGCCAACCTACTTTTTTCTTTTAGAAATGAGAATAATGTAGTATCCTTCCATAAATTTGATGAAACCTTTATATTAAAAAAACACATTTTGTGAATAAGTGATGACATATACACTTAGTTTAAAGGAAATGGTCTTACCAACAACTCCAAAAGCAGACATATTGCGATGCAAGCCAGGGGTATCTTTATCATATGATTTTGGATTCTTAGGGGTATTACCACCGTTTATCATAGCAAGTAATTGCTTGATCTGATTACCATCATATTCAACCTGCATTTAAAGGGTGCATAAATTTCAGTGGTGGCCCCCAAGTTGTTATATAAAGTGAAACATTGATAAAACAACAACATTCCCAAGGCTATAAAATATATTGATTCCTTAATGACAACCTCAAGGGGGATGAAAGTTTGATAACTAAGAAGGGTGGAAAATTCACATATTCATACTGTACATATGTTCTTAATAATGTACATATGTTCATATGTTCATAATAACTATTGATTTCAATAGAAGCTAATAAAGTACTAGAACAATTACATGCATATATTAGTATTAACCCCCTCCCCCCATCGATCTTCCTCACCTAATGAACTATTCTGAAAAATCGGTGACATAGCCAGCTCAATAATTAGGGTGGTGGTATGTGTATTCATATATCAGTTGTAGAAGCATGTTACAATGCACAAAAAACAATTGATTTCAAAGAAACCTAATAAGTATATTCAAGTTACTGGAGCAAGTATATTCCATTACTACTACCCTTGTGTACTGTACTACACTACCCTGCAAATGCTGCTCAACAATAGTATAATAAATGTGATCATGTGGACAGGAAGTACAGACTGTAGACATACTTTCAAAAGTGGTAATAACAATGGTTCGTCAATAAATTTCTACTCAAATCAGCACAAATTTCGTAATTTTTACATGCTAAGACATGCTGATGCAGCTGTTCAAATGATATAATGATATAAAATAACATACCTTGTCGTCTATAACATGCAAATCATACGGCGTAGTTCGGTCCATTTTTAATACTCTAAACTTGCTTTCTGATACATTGCATCCAACCAGGTAGAAACGCTAAAATGAATTAATGTAACGTTTACAGTAAGTGCACGTAATCCACGTTTAGTTTTATGTTTTTACACACCGCTTTCGTTTCATAAAGAACTATTTTCTGGATGCCGCAAATGGATAGCAATTCGTCAGCCATTTGATTAGATTGTTATAAATTATGATCTACATGACGTATCCCAAGTAATGCTGTGCTATAACTCTCACCAACCATAATCTCACATTCACCCTCAAAGTATCCTCCGTATGGTCATCTATTGTTATTTATTACCTATTATTACCTAGAGCGTTGTAAAGTAAAGTATAATTCTTGACAAATTATAACAACAAAAGCTGACACACAGGATCTGATGTATTAAAAATTGTTCGTTTTTGTTATGTACATTGCATATGTGGCAGAGTGACACATAAGGCATGTTTTAGATGTTGATTGGTTGCTTTACTTGCTTCGGTGTTTGTTCTTCAAAGTCATAATGATCAGGTACAAAGCCACAGGCCTCTCGTGGTACAGAGCCACAGGCCCCTCGTGGTAACAATTATAAGTTTATAACTGAACCCTTGCTTGATACACACACAATGTTTTAATCTAAAGAGCAATTGCGTAGCCTGCATGCAAGTTTTAGTTCTTACTTAATTTTAAAATTATTCATTTCTGTAAAAATCTATGTTTTCACCGTAAGCGAATACAGAAAAACTAACATAGCAGAACTAAATAAGAGACGTTGGCTACGCCAGTGCTACACAGGGTTGTTAGTTTGGCCTTTTTGAGGCCAAATAACTCGATTTTGGCCTTTTTTTTCTTTCTTTGGACTCGAAATTTTTTTTTGGCTATTTGGTTACTTTTTGGCCTCTTTTTACTCAAACAATTTTTTTAAAATTTTTATTGAGCTTTATTTGTAAAAATCTCTTCAAACCATATTTGGCTACAAACGAGCGCTGGAGCCTAACAACCCTGGTGCTACATAGTGTATATAAAAAAAGGAGACCATTACAAATTAAACTCTCGTATTGTTATGATTTCAATGCCCTAATCGGCTGTGGATGTGTAAGCGTAAATATTATTAGCTATAGCAAGAACGTGCTGAAACAGTTGAACTTTATGGCAGTATAAGCAACAACGCTTAGACTGAACGTGTATATTTCTACCAGTGAAAAAAACGTTTCTACGCAGAATGTCATTCAAAACAGGCATTGCGCACAATTTGACATGCAGCTCATCTGTAAAATTATGGACTGTGATGGTGTATCTGACCATGGTCTATACAAATTTTATAAATTGTTGAGGTGCAGTCTCACATGATAAATGAAAAATACATATAACTAGATTAAAAATAATTCCATCGATATAAATACACAGATCAACCAATTATTTGACGTAGTTTAAAATTTAGATCTCGTTCTTTTTTCAACAGCTTGTCTGTGTGTTCCTTATATGCAGTAAATTCCTAAAACAAAACATTGAAATGAGATTTAACAATGATAAATATGCAATTACTTACGTCAGATCTACATATGTAAAGTTTCATGAAAAGGTGACTGAGGAGAAATTATTGAAAATCGTAGCATTTTATTTGTTTTCAAGTTTAATTAGGCATCTCTTTTGAATGACCTGAGAAAATAGAAAGCGTTTCAAATAAGATTTGCAAGCTCTAAAAATCACCACCCAACACATATTTTCACAATTCTTCACAAAACAAAACAATTTCCAGAGAGCAATGCTATTAGCGAGAGCAGACTGCTCCTATTCTGAGTAAATTTATTCGATGTACCTTTTCACGAGTGAATATTTTCTCCTCAGATCTTTTCAACAATGCTTCCAATTTCCGAATCTGCACGTTTGCCGAGGTTTCTCGAAGTTCATTCCTAATCAGTGCCCACAGAAACACAAATTATTCATACATACTTCATTGGAAGAATAACTTTATGATAAATAATTGAAAGCATAAAACGTCCAGAAAAGCAAAGCGAAATGTAAATCCAACTAGCTAACTTTTTTCAGCATACAAAATTACTTTGTATATGGTATTTAAATGGTCACAAATACATACAGATATTTCTCTGTTTGTGTTTTCAACATCAATTCAAGTTCATCGACTTTCATACAAAGCTGATTCATTTTTCTATCTTTTTCCTGGACGAAAGTGAGAAAACAACGAGATACTTTCAATTTTTGCACCAATCTTGCCTAATTTTAATACCAACATAATCATTTTAATTTTAAAGTTGTTCAATGAAAGTTTCTCGAGTTAAGTGTAAAAAAGTAAAACAAATAAAATTTCATTGATATCACCAAGAGATTAAATCGTAAGCAAGCAGTGACTGTAATGTCAATTCTTTTACTACCGTTATTGTTTTCTTCGCTTCCGATATTTCTTTCGACAAATGAGATTTCTCTTCAAGCAGCTTTGACGTTTCAATTTTATTAGCAGAAAGCTGAGAAGATAGTGCTTCTGATTTTTCTGTCATTTCTAAATAACACACATACATACGTGTTATATAGATAATGATACAATTTTTACGCATTGATTTTTCATTTTTCAACAAAAGAGAAATTTTTCAAGCAATCTAGAACTAGGCACTTGACAATTCATGAGTGTAATTTAGAAGCTTTTTCACCATTTTAAAGATAACGTGAAAAATATAGCGGTGTCGTACATGACATATAGCAGAAAATGTTTTCCCCTTATTCACTTAATTCATATAAAAGGTGACAACATAAATATTTTTACCTAAAGATGTTTCTCCTGATTTTTCAACGATAAGTTTCAATCGTTTAACTTCTTCATTAAGATGACTTTCGTTCTTTTGAAAATTCTCCCTCAATTCCCTAGACGATGAATGCAAAAATATGTTTCTACAACGTTGATGGTAATGTACTGTATATTGGAAAAAAAATGATGCATAGCGCAAATACAAAAACACGTAAAAATAATTTACTTTGCAAAATGTTGTCTGATATTTTACGTATAGTAAAATAAAATAAAATAAAAATATAGGACAAAATTTTAAAAGTAAAGTTTCTTACTCTAAAAGATCATTACTCTTCTGCAATTGCTCTTTTAGAGATGCCATTTCTTTCGTTAAGTCTGTTATTATTTTGTCTTTCTCGCTTGCCATAGCAGCAATCTTCTCTTCTTTCCTCTCCAATAAATTCTTGTTCTCTTTTCTCAACTCGTCATTTACAACTTTGTAACCATCTTTGATTTTTATGATCTCTTCATGATTATTATAAAGAATTTTAAATCTTTCTTCAAGAATTTGAAACTTCTTGTGCTCTTGAAGAAATTTACATTCCGCATCATCTTTTGCACGGTGCAATTCTTTTATTTCATTTTCAAAACATTGTGATTTAATCAAATTTGAGTCTGCACGATTTTTTAGAATGCATATTAGCTCCGATTGTTGATCAATACGATCTCGTAACATTGCAGTTTCAGAAATTTCATCTTTAGGCAAGCCTTTCAATTTAGCAAGATTTTTCTCAACTTCATCAGAAGAAAATGCAGATTCCTAAGTTGAGACAACAAACATATTAAAGTATGTGAGTTCATCATGAATTGATTACATCTTGGTAAAGTGCATCGCAATGTTATAGAAAAGCCACTTGGTCACATCAAGCGTTTCTCAGTTGAAAATAAATTTTTCACAATACAAGTTTTAACTCCAATAAAAACCATGTTTGTTACTTTTATTGATCATTACAAGGGTAGTATTGTCTGAAAACATTTGTTGCTATTTACAACCCTTCTCAGATACACGTCACGTGTGTGACAAAAAACAAACTTTTGCTAAGTTATCCCTAGTGTCAATCTTTGTGAACTTTTGCAGGTTTATGACTAAGTAATGAAAAATACTTAATTCTGAAATGAAAACTACTTTCAAAAGTAATGACTAACTTATGAAAAAGAGTTCTACATTTCATAATTCATATTTAAACTTAAATAGACAAGTACATAAACAGTTTTGATATGTTTGTATGGCAACTCACAGGCCTTATGAGAGGGGTTCCAGCCTGGTCACAAACCAGGAAGCTGGAGCTTAAGTTGGCCTGCTTAAGGAGACAAAAAACATCTTATACATTATTTCAATTCATCACAAAATATACACCAATAAAGAAAATGCATTAATTAAGGAAAAAAGATGTTTCCTGTGTTTTCAATGACAAACCAAAGAGAAGTTTGGAAGAACGTGAGAGCAGATCAACACAAACCAAAGATCAAAGGTTGAATTATCTTATGTTAATACAAATGGAATCTTGAGTTTACAAGATGATAGTTTTTGAAATATGTTTTCTATAATATTTTCTATTATGTATGTTCATATCAATGTATCTTAATTGGGTGCAAAACTTCTTTGTATCAATGATACTCATTTCAGAGAATTGCCTTATACTTTTTAGCTAGAGCTTGAGAATGGTTATTTTGACATCCTCCAAAACATCAGAAAATACAGGCATCAACATATTAAGGGGTTAGCAGGTCAATCACCCACTACACCCCCCCCCCTAAAAAAATTAAACTTAGCAACTTTTCTGACAAGAAATTACAAAGGCATTTGAGCTTTGTGAGACCACATGGTAATCAAATTTTTCTCATAACATGATACATATGAGGATCGCGGAAATTTATATCAATAATATAAATTGGCAATAATATTTAACTTCTTTGCAATATGATTTGTAAAAATTAGTTTGAATTAAAAAATCAAATAGTCCATCGAGTCTAATTTCAATTTTAAAAGTGGGCTCAAATAACAGTGCTAAATGCAGACTTCTCCATTTGTCTTTGAATATAATAAAAATAATATGACCATTGACAACATAAAATCTCGTATTTTTGATTTTTGCAACCTTCATTACTTGTTGCAGTTCATACCTCATGTGCAATCGTCAATATTTGGCGAAGATCTTTGGGAGAACGCGTAGCATTACGAGATGCCATTTTGTACAAAAATAAGTATACTAACCAATCTCAACAACAAAGTTTATTTTTATAACTCTTCGCATCGATTCTCGTTATCTGCCATATTTTCTGTTGCCTAGCAACCACACTTCCTCGCCCCTAGCAACAAGTTTTATGGTCTTAGTAAATCCATTGAGTAAATCCAAAATAAATCTGTAAAACAAATTGCCGAATCATCTCATCTAATATCATCTAAGTAATAAGTGTGAACCAGTGCGTGAATCAGTGAACCAAATTCTTGTTTATCTGACCATAATTGCTGAAACTTGAAATTACTTTAAAATCTGATTGGATGAATTCTCGAACAGTCATGCGCTGACCATTGTTGTGAACACAATATTTTTCCATTTGAGCTGAACTGAACAAGATGAAAAATACTACGAAACAGCTATTTGAAATATATACCACTTTTACAGCCAAATGCAAAGAATAAAATTCTGTACACAACAATTTTGTATACAATATTTTTTGGATAACACAAGTCACAAAAAGGTTCATGTTCCACAAAAGTGATGGCAAAGAGAAAAAATCATGGCGCATAAAAGAATTACGGTAAGTAGAATGAAAACTGGATGTATTTCTAGAGTCTAGATGATTTAGTAGATACAATGAGCACAGAACAACTTGCCCCGTATCATTTTATTGAACGAGTTAGTCAGTTAGCAAGCATGCATGATATAAGTTTGAAAAATTCAATGAAACATTTAAATATGCATTAACCTGTTTCAATTTTTAAACTATCTAATTTAGACATTTTAATTCATTTTTCAATGAGTGACGACTTCAAATTTCTATCATTTCGATGACATTTTTGAAGAATATGGAGAATATACGATGGCTGGCAACTTTTAATAAGCTCTTGAACTTTGACCTACGTTACATAAAATGTTCACCTTAAGACACTAGTGATCCTGCAGTGATCCTGCCCAAACATGAAAATGACAGAAAATTTCCACTTCCTTATTAACTGTTTCAAATGAACAATTTCGTCTCCCCGTACCGTCCTTCACATATAAATATTGTCGAAGGACGTAGTTTTCAGCTGTGGTAACTTAAAATAATTGATCCGAAGATGATTGCTAAATATTTTTCCCAAATAGTTTTTGAAAAGTTAAGCAAAGTCGATCTTATAAGCAGATCTGCTTAACTCTAAAACAAATGAACTACGTATGAAATTCATCAACTATAATTTAGAAACTTGCTGCTGTTGAATACAAAGCTACGCATGCAACCTTTTACAACGTTATTCAACGTTACATAACTTAAATCTCAAAACAACGAACAGTTTATGTTCAGTTTATAACGACATCATTCAATCCAAAACGTTTCAATATTGCAATTTCATGGCTACATGATTATTATTTTAAAATAGTAATCATGCACAAACACAAGAAGTAGATTTACGTATCTCGATTACTGACTGTTAAATCATAAGAAGCAATGAATGAAAAATTTCCCCTAAGACCAAGCATACGCATTTATTGACAAGTCAATGATAAGATAATAAATTAACACATAAACTAAGGTAATGTTTATAATAATTATATAAACTATACGGTTAAAATAAAGTCACCATTGACAAGCAAGCTACAAATATGCATGTATGTATGTATGGCATTACGAGCGGGCTTTCAGTTGCTTCATCTTAAAAGCTGGATTACGTTTTTTCATTTCTTTCTTGTGTAATTTATCCTGAAATGTACACAATATATATTGATCATTCATGTTTTATACGTTTCCATATGCGTACATAAAGAAATGGGATCTCACAAATAAAATAAAAACAACATCTACTTCAAATGTTTTTACCTCCATTCTTCTTTGCTTCTCACTATCATCTTCATTCATTATTCTCTCCTTTTCTGCTCGTTGTTTTTCTTCACGACGTAATTGCGCCGCCTAAAATGAAAAAATCCTACCTTTGGAAATTCTGTTGATATAAGACCATTATTATATATATATGTAAACAAGTATCTAAGGTTTGTTTTACTATTCATCAAAATAATTTCATTAATTTACCTCTTGACGAGATGCATGAGCTTGTTTCCAGAACGATTCTTCCATTTCTCGTCTTTTCTTATCAGATTTTGTTTTAGCCTAGAACAGTATAAATCATAAGCATTTCTAATATCGACAAAACATCATTTTGCAACATGGACACACAGGGTAAAGTATGAAATAATGCATATGTTTCAATAGAATGTCTGATTAACTAAGTAAAAATCAACAATGAAAAAACAGCACATCAAATACTTACATCTTTACTAAGTTTAAATTTCTTCACTTTATCCACAAAATGAAAACAAGATTTATTAAAGGTTTGCACATTTCCATATGAGAATATTTTGTCTTGCCTTTACCGGGAACTACAAAGGACGTATAGATACAAGTATTAAAATAATGTCAGTCACCAAGAATTCTGACAGAAAATGAAACTATTCTTATACAGCGAGTTGATCTATTTGGGGTTATGGGGGAGGCAGAAGGGATTTGTTTTCTTTAATAAATATAAAATTTCAAGCATTTGAAAAAGTTCATCATTACTTGATGGTTTGTAGCTTTTTGTCAAGCCATTTTTTTTACCTATGTTAGTTTTACGTTAGGTTCAAATCTGGTGACAGAGTTGGTCATTACATGACATAAATCTTTTTATTTGTGAGATACTTTGAAACAACTCCACTTGTGTGTTCGCGGTATTGGTCAAGTTGGAACACATAAAATAAAATATATTGTGGAAGCTTTCCTTTTAAAGATTATGTGCAAAGTAAGGTACGTAAAATAAAACAATTTCTTAATCATCATATAATCTATTGATGTTTTTCAGTCACCATATAATTTTATAAGACGCTACACCTTTGTTAACGAAATACTTAACTCTTTAATTTATTGAAAATCATAAAATATTTCGGATTTGTCGGACCTAACCTTGCGCGTTAGAACTTTAAAGAATGTATATAGACTATTCCTTTTCAAAGAAATAATATAGCAGACATTGTTTTAGTTTGTACCAGCAGTAGCAGTTTAACCGAAAAAATTCTAAAACCAACATCTAAATATTGTACATTGATATTTTTGCGATATTTTTCAATGTTGTAACCGTGGTAACCATGGTAATACTTTAACAACTCCTAATTTAAATGCCCGCAACACATTCCAATGTTTTGCAAATACAGTATCAATTCTATGGCCAAAAGTATCATTTAACACATAACTGTTTACAATACTTACGATTAAATGTAAAAATTAAAACTTTTTTTACTTTGGGTGGTTTTATTTCTTCAGATTCCTCCGCATCACTGCAACAAAAATAAACTTTTCAATTATTTTTTGAAACAAAAAAATCAACTAATAAAAACAGGAAAATATACTCTGCATTTTTTTTATTTCCAACATATTGATCAGAGAAATGAATACTTTCAATTAGATCACTTTTATCTGAGATTAATTTTGTCACCTAGGAAAAAACGTGGAAAAGCTAGACTTTTTGATGACACGCACATTTTTAAACATGGGGCTTGGACACAAAGTACATTGAATACTCACAACCTTAGATACTAACTACCGTTCACCAAAAGAAATATATTTTAGTGCGTTAAAGTACATTGAATACTCACAACCTTAGATACTAACTACCTTTCACCAAAAGAAATATATTTTAGTGCGTTAAAGTACATTGAATACTCACAACCTTAGATACTACCGTTCACCAAAAGAAATATATTTTAGTGGGTTAACTATTGTGAAATTCAACATTGAAATTCTTTTCACAACTTTGTGTTGTTTCATACGCTTGCCTAATTTCTCGTGCTAGCATTTTACAAAGACGAACTTTGACTGGACCATACATCACATGCCAAAATATAGTTACACTTACAGTAACTGAAAGCAGAGTCAAAATTTCTGCACTTTCAGATAAAATGGTATAGGAACTAGGTAAGCCTAATTTCTCTGCTGGACGACGTTCAGGACAAAAGAAACTCTGAAATTAAAAAAGATAAGGCGACATTAAATTTCTCAAGGTTGTAATATTAATAAAAAACATTAACAGCTGAAAATAGCTAAAAAAAACAATTGGGCTAATTACAAGAATAGCATTTACAACAAGACCAACAATAAAAAGATAATACGTAAAGTACATCAGAGATGAACTTTTACCACAAGACCAAGTTACATCAGAAATTAACTCTTCCTCAAGACAAACAAGCCTATCCTTGGCAATTAAAGTTCGCAAAGCAATGCAAAGAGCGAGAATTTCAGATTTTTATTGAGAAGCATTCATTTGATATTAACACACACGTAGCGATGCTAGAGTAATTTCACACTCTAGTTGAAAGTATACAAAAAGAATGAAAAACCACCATAAAGCTAAAGAGGACGGCAGACAAATTCTTAAGTAAAAGGAAACATTCTTTTTATGTCAATAAAATTGCTGTGCATATCTTGTTTCATGTGAAAAAATAAGAATGAAACAAAACACTTTGGCATTTTACCATATGGCTACTTGTTGAGGGTCACCAACTGTATATCGTGAATAGATGCAAAAGCAAAGCAAAGTTGAATAATCTTTTGATTATATTAATGTAGTTGTCGATTATGATTGCATAATTTACAAATGCAGATAATAAGCAAACATTGCTGTGAATTGCAGCTCGCTGAGCAGAACTTGCAGAAAATTAATCATAACAAAAAATAAGTAATTCTTCGTTGAGGAAAAACATATACGCACATATATATTGTCAAAACGTTTTTTAAAATTGATAAATACAATGTACATACTAAATCCTGAAACTCCTTATGAATTTTACTTGCTGTACGCTTTGGATACATCGCAAAGACAAAGTTGTCCATATCTTCATCATTCATGTGAACAGTTGCAACCTTAGACAAAATTTTAGACACATTTGACATAAGCACATTTGACATTTGGATTATGTACATCTAAGTTGTTTTAACATTTTGATTATTCTGGTAAATCTCGGTCTGTTATGTGTTTCTATTCCTGTTCCAAAAGTTGGATTACGTAAATCTCAGTTGTTTTAACATTTTGATTTTTCTGGTAAATCTTGGTCTGTTATGTGTTTCTATTCCTGTTCCAGAAGTTGGATCATGTACACATATCTCAGCTTGTTCTACATTTGAATTATGTATATCCAGGGCCATCAGAAAGGTGTGGTCTACGAGGGGGAATGTGAAAATATTTTTTTTCAAAAAAAATGGGCGCGGTCTTTTGACTATCTTAAATAATGAAAGAAAGATGCTTGTAATATTTGTATTTTAATACATTATGTTCTACAAAATACTGAACATCTTTTTTGTTCTTTGTCATTATTCGAAAGTTTGGTTAATTAGAAACAGTCAATTTATTATGTTTTCTGAAAAATTTACCAACAACCCTATTGCTGGGGGAAGAGGTCACACAACACCAACAACCTTATTTCCAGGGGGAAGAGGTCACACAACACCAACAACCCTATTTCCAGGGGAGAAGTCACACAACACCAACAACACTATTTCATGGAGGGAAGAGGTCACATAACACCAACAACCCTATTTCCAAGAAGTCACACAACACCAACAACCCTATTTCATGGAGGAAGAGGTCACATAACACCAACAACCCTATTTGGGAGAAGTCACACAACACCAACAACCCTATTTCATGGAGGGAAGAGGTAACACCAACAACCCTATTTCCAAGGGGAGAAGTCACACAACACAACCCTATTTCCACACAACACCAACAACCCTAATTCATGGAGGGGAGAAGTCACACAACACCAACAACCCTATTTCATGAACAACCCTATTTTCACACACACAACAACACTATTTCATGGAGGGAAGAGGTCACATAACACCAACAACCCTATTTCCAGGGGAGAAGTCACACAACACCAACAACCCTATTTCCAGGGGGAAGAGGTCACATAACACCAACAACCCTATTTCCAGGGGGGAGAAGTCACACAACACCAACAACCCTATTTCATGGAGGGAAGAGGTCACATAACACATGCCCTCCATTGGCAACAGCCCTGTTTATAAGTGCATGATCTCAGTCTGTTTCAAATTTTGTATTATACACAATTCAATTAATTGTATCAGTTTGAACAAGTACATCTCAGTTTGCTTTAACAATTGGATTATATACATACGTACATCTCAGTCATTTACAACAAATGGACTAAAACTTTATCTCACTCCTTAATCTGTTTTAATAGTTGGATTATACGCATGCGCATAACATCTTAGCCTTTTCAAAAAAATACATTATATAACATACCATTTTGTCAGCGGTTGGTTTAAACATGTAGGAAAGAACATGGACCAAGTCATGTCTTTTAAGAAGCTATATAAGCATAAGAAATAAAAAATCAAAAAAGTATGTTTACAATACATTAGACAAATCAAAATATGCAATGGGCTTAACATCAAAATTATAACAATATACGTTGACAACAGAAACATTGAAAATTCAATCTTGTTCAAATAGCCCTTCCTCCATCTAATAATTTTGTAACCATTTTGTAAAATTTAATCCTAAGATACCAGACTTGCGGCCAACTTTGGTGGTTGATACATAAACCTTCCCCTAATAAAAAATGCTTGCTGTGAACCCTTTCAATAAAACACCACTCATAAAAGTGGATTACTCAGTAGGCTAAGTAGGTCTAAGACTTTAGGCTGGCCCAGGTATTTAAGAGGCCCGTGGTTGCTAGACATAATCACTTTTTACTTTTTCTATTCCAGACTAGCTAAATGTGCCTAATTTAGATTAAGACCCATTTGTGCTATTGAAAACTGTATGACCAAAAACTCTAATGTCTCAATGAGCAATGCTAAGAACTCATGAAGCAGTGGGTATCCCAGTTCCGGAGACTGTCTAAATAATTTTTGAAATTTTGTTTGAACTTTCAATTTTTCCTGTATTATTTATACTATGAGTTACAAATATAAGTTGGGAAATACAAAAGCAAAGAAACATGATGAATGAAAATGTCATCAGGACACTGCAGCATTATCTTAGCAACCAGGCACCATAATTAGTTTTCAGCCACTGACCACTCACCTTAAGTTCAACCAAAAGTCCTTCACAATTCACTCTTCCTGAACACCACAATGAATAATGACTTTCACTTTCCTTAGTAAACAAATCTTGCTGAGTTTCATCACCTGCATCAAAAAATATCAACAAAAAATAACAATGACCCTAAACTTGAATGCTAAGAAGAAAGTCAAAAACCATTTAATCAATCAGAATATTCATAAAAGCATGGCAATTGATACATAAATTGAGCACTTTAAATTTTGTAAAATATAAATTACTGGGAATTAGTAAAACAGTAAACTAAAAATAATAAACCCTTGAGAGTCCTGCTCAAAAACTTCAATAGTCATGTACTCACCAACCATGGCAAAATTGTCTTCTAAGATATTTTTGTTGTATTTCATCCTGATTAGGCATAAAAAAGTTAGCTTTTCATAACGAGCTCAAACTATGACTATATATGACTATTTTCTTACCAAGTTGATGCTAATTTTGAATTCTTACTGCGACCAATAAAGAAGTTCAAGGCATACGCTGCCAGGCCAGAAATCATAAGAATTTCCAAGTAAAAACCCTCCCAATTTGCTCTCAAATGTAAAGGAACCTAAAAAAATAATAAATAATCAGGCAATGAAGAATTTGTGATAAAAGCTCTAAACCTACACATAACACAATGAAAATGAAAAGATTGTGAACATGCAGCTCAAAAATTAGAAAATCTTTCATAGCATTGATGACTATCCTCTGAAATTTTCTCTAATTTTAATGTACAGTCACAAGTAGCAACAAACATATCCATTAGAAAACAATGTAACCATTTTGTTGTATATTTTACGTACAGTTGTACATATGTTTCATCATTTAATTTTCTTCGGTTTAAATTATTCAATTTTTTTAGCTGCATGTACAACTTTCAAATTTGCATTCTCTCAATCAAAGATCATATGTATTAGCCAAAAATATGTTATCCTGCTTGTGTAAACTGCTTCTACCTTTGCAATTTTCAAATCTGGCTCAGATTGTTTTCCTTTAGGGCCAGTTCTGTCCTTGGAGTATCCCTGAAGAAACAAAAATAGAAATGTTGGAAAACAAGTACTCGTACAACATATCATACCATCAGCAAGGAGAAAATCAGAAAATTTAATTATGAAAGAATTTCAACAGAAAACATAAAAATGCCTGATACCTCAAATTCTTCTTCATCAGCAAAATGGTCATATTCATCTTCAGTCTAAAAGAAAACAAATTGTTTATTTTCAGGAGTTTAGTAGAAATATTACTTTTAAATACTGTCATAAAATTGAGCCAATTAAAGTACAAATATAATATGCTCATGTTGTTCATTATGCCTTCATTTATATTGATTCTGAATATAAATAAACATTCAACAATCCATACCTCAACTGAGATATCATCATTGGAATCATCACCTTCTTCTACTTCACCTAAACCAGAGGAAATACAATATTAACATTTGGCAAGATTTAAATATCTTTCGTATAGCTCAGGTGCTCTGTATTCATTATTTATTCGAAAAGAATATTTGTAAATACCTTTATTCTCAATCAAATATAGCACAGTAAGATCACTGGGTATATGTTACAACATGTCAATCTTTAATCTTTTTATCTAACTTCTAGCTACGTAGTTTTATAAATTCCTAGCTCCGTATGCATTTTGTAAAAGTTCCTTGAAGAAATTTTCAAACAACATGCTCAATAACTTAACACAGTATTATGTAGGTACACAGTATTATGTGTACAATACACTTGTTTTTGGTAGTTAGTCATGTGACTATGAACATATTAAATAGTATAGGGTAGTATTATATGGTAAAATTGGTACAATTAAAAAAATTTTATAGTTAACCAACCATGACCTATTTTAGACAATTCTGAAAACTTACCATTTTCAACTTCGACTTCTTCATCATCCTCATCCACATTAGATTTCCTAGTTTTCTGCTCAACTGTTTCTTTATCAGAATTATCTAATGCACCTTCATAAGCATTGTCGCTCTCATCCTCGTCTTCTTCTGTTTCAAATTCGGCGAAATCATTTAAGTCTCCTTTCTCTGCTAAGCGTTCATCTTTATTCATCGCAAATGAATGCGATAGTAAAAGTAAAAGAATACAAAAAGTGCAAACGAATGTATCACCTAAGTTTGACAATAAAACGACGGCCATTTTAAACGAAAAATTATACAACCAGCGTGGAGCATACTAATGAGCTTGACAATGTATATGAGAGGATATTCTACTCATTTCCATTCACCAAAATACTTATATTACCAATTTCAGTAAGCTTTTTCCTCAAAATGAAATCATCAATTTAGTTGCCAAGCTCAAAATTTGCTAACAAGTTCTTAAATTTTTGAATAGAGAGGAGAAATATGTACAGTTGAAAGAAAATAAATAGTTCACACAGAATCAGATAGATCGCGTCATTTTTTAAGTACAAACTTTCCAGTTGCAACCTTTCAAGATTCAAAAGGAAATTAACTACTGACATACAGTAGAATCAGCTATTTTGTATAATTTTTCAATTACAATATATAGCATTCCAGTTTCTTTCTTTCAAGCTTCTACTCATTGTCTGTTTAATCATACGTTATTCATTCAATTAAAAATATTCATAATAAATCCAACGAAATTTATGGTTCTTATAATTATATGAAATACTGTATACGCTGAAATACGCTATTAGTACAATACAGTACCATTTAAAATTGGTTTAGTTACCATTTCAACGTAACAATTCTTAGGTTCTGCACAAGGAGCTCCATCCAGTTCTAATACAATCAGAATATTTTTATCCTTTTAAAAGCACTAGCTGGAACATATAAGGTGATTTGAGGACCCTCAACAGGCCAATAACGACCCAAGTTAAAACCATTCAGAAACACTTGACCCTTAACAAAAATGTAATAAGAAAACTATTTTTAAACCATTCTACGATACTGAGAATAAAATCAGTGTGATTCTGTAAATACTTTCATCGTCCTAATCACATAAACAAAAACACACTCAGAATATGAAACTACCTTTTCCCATCCATATAGTGACAAATACGTATCTTGTGGAGATAATCCTTCAGGCATCGACGGAACAATACCCTTGAAGAAAGCTGGAACTTGATTATTTGCACCAAATAAGTCATTCTTGAGTTCATGATATACATTTGGTGGGTCTTTTAAGTGACTAACAGTCCAGTTTGTAAGTATAACTCCATCAAGTGTAACATTGCTAATCAAACCTTTAGGGTCGTTCAAATGACCATTTTTAATGCGTCCTTGATTTTCAATTATAATTTCAAGCACACTGTTTTTAACGACTTCGATTTCCAAACATTTTTTCTTGTCATTTCGATCAACTACACCTTGTTTTACCTGAAATGGAGCATGAATACATCGTCAATATAAATACTTCATTGCTAGCCAGTGAAAGAAATCGTCAAATCGTTTTATAATTTTGAATCCATTAGATAAGATGTATATTTGTATATTTCAGAATCCATTGAAAAAGATTAATTTAAGATTAAAAGCATTAAATGCAAAATTACTAAAATGTAATACAATGCTTTGGAAAAGACTCTTTTTGTAACACTCCGTTTACTGTAGTTCCGTAAAGATGGGACGATTTTTAGAAAAAGTTAGAGAGTTACATTAAAATTGAAAACAGATTACAAATATACATTCAAAAATATAAAATATAAAACAAACGAATGAACAAGGCGAAATTCGCATCGATATATTTAGAGTTGTTTTGTTCTCAAGGCTGTGTAAGGCTAACTGTTGTTTTCTTTAAAAACTATTCAAACTAAGTTTCAGTATTTTTTCAAAAATTATCATTCCCCACATACCTTATCAATAAAGACTATAGCCCTGTCTCTTACACCAGGCATGTTAAGAATATGTTTTAGTTGACTTTGCCTTGCCGATATCACAATATTTGCCATATAAATAGCAAATCCATAGTACATGTTCATTTGTTCCATTGTTTTGGGATATCTCGACGTCACTGTCTTGGAATTTTGTGATGAAACAATCTACAATTCATACAATCATGACGTTAGTTAACTTGACAAAAAATAGAGAAAACTAGACATAAATAACCTTGGTCATTTGTATTTTTCCATATGCATACTTTGGTGTAGGTGGTGGTATGGGAATTTTTGGATCCGGCAAATATTTAGTGACAATTTTCTTAATGGCACCATATTTTTTATTGCTAACTCCAGGATCTCCAGCTTCAGATAATGGTGCATCATAATCATAACTGGTTGTCACTGGTAGGTAGACAGAACCAGTGAAGGTCGCTCCTAGGCAACAATGACATCAACATACATCACATATGGAATATCAATTAAGGTGCATAAATAATAAACTGTATTAACCGTTTCTCACTTAAGATTTACATATTACATAGCGTTCAAATAAACCATAAACAATATTTCCCTAAGATCCTTTGCAGAAATTATAATAAAATAAGATGGAAGAGGAGGGGCGGGGCGTTAAGAATTATTTTCAAATACTTTGGCATGAATAAAAGTATATAAATATCTAAAGATATTTTATTGGTCTGTAGAAATTCCTACCATTCATATATCCAAAATTTGTGCCTCCTTCAAACATATACATGTTTACGGAAGCATTCATTGCCAATATTTGGTCCAGTTTAGCAGCCGTTAAAGTGGGATCAGTGGTTTGGTGCTGCTTGCTCCATAAGTCCAGCCATCCAGTATAATATTCAGAATTGACCAAAGGACCACGGGCTTGAAATTTTCTCTGAATGGCAAACGCTTTCTTGGGATCGGTTCCTAAAAATCACTTTATGTCAATTGCTGTTGATAAAAAGTTAAAACTGCTTGTACTTACTAAACTGCAATAACGTATCAACAACAATAAGCTTTGCAATGTTTCTCGCAAACAAAGAAAATGTCAATGCAATAAAAAACATAAAGCTTTTTTCACAAGATTTTTCACCACGCAATCTCGTTGCTCTAACTCGAAGCTAACTTAGCAAAGAAATTTACTTTGTTAAAAACATTTAGAGAGGAATTTTAATAAAACAAGTAAAAACTTCGATCTTTCTATCATGAAATTATCAATGGACTTCAAATGGATAGCACTATAATTGGTACTTTGATGCTTCATAAAGCATTATTCTTTATAATAATTATAATATTGGTTGATGCATTAGACCTGGTCCAAAATCAACTGTGCTGAAGAGAGTGGGCAAAGTTCCACATTTAAGAAGACTTTCGGCATCGCCATCTGTTGTAAATAGAATCACATCTTTTCCAAGATATTCCTCCATTAATCTTTGTAAAAACTCCAAGTATTTCGCATCGCAGGTAAAGTATCTTCCGTACTCATTTTCAACCTACAACATTGTAACAATCATGGTAAATACCAACTGAAGACGTGTGATTCTTAAAGAGCGCATAAAAGCGATCATTTGGGACGGCTGATGACCAATTTTAATAAAAATAATCTTGAGTGACAATGAAACATGCACTGACACAAATTATCAATATGGGTAATGCACCTGGGCTGAAATGATTGGTCCACCATTTGAATATAGATATGGACGTAACATTGGCAAAAGAACTTTAAACCAAGATGTGACTGCTGAGGTATAAACTATATATACAAGATAAATATAAAATAACATGTTAGATCCTTCTTTCAAACTTATGTCAAGGCTGCCATGACCGAATATTGACCTTTTTATAAAATAATTACAAATTGCTGCTGAAATGATAAACAGAAATTAACCTGGATCCTTCGAGGAACGCAAAATTATGGAGGCATTCTTCAACAACCAAGGAGGAAAGCCACCCTAAATTTCATAAAAACAGTAGCTATATAATGCTGTCTTAAAAAGACAACATACACCAAACTAAGCCCCATCTCTGTCCTGTACACTGTTGAAGCAAATCGATCAGTCAGTTTTAATAAAAGACTGAACATACGTTACATTAAACCGTTCAAACAAATAAAGACAAAAATAAATAGAAATAAGAACGCACTTACAAATTCCCATTCTGCACAAATATAAGGACCTGAAAAGTAATAATTCGTATTTTCAATTCTGGATATACATGGAAAAGTATATTTGCATTAATCAAATAAAGATAATACATTTATGATCGTCGTCCCTCACAATCAAAGGACAAGATTTTTATGTGTTTTATAAATATAGTCCAACCTGGTCGAAGAATCATTAAGAGTCCTGTTTCTTGAACAAGTTTTATAAAACTAAGAACATCTGCTTCACCCTCAAAGTTATAAACACCTGGTTCTGGTTCATGAATATTCCAGGGAATGTATCTAACAAATATTGAATTAAAAATTTGAGTTCATAAAAAGCATAAAGTGCCATAAAAACCACAAGACTTTTGTACACCTAGAAAGATCGTGCATAATATTTATTTCAAATATTCATACCAATAATATATTGTGGTTATGTGAATATATATTATGAACTTAATGACTTATTTATATAATGACCGGATTGCTCATGCAATCTTTTCTGATATATAAATTACCGTTATTCTCCTATTCGACCTTATTTGTGCATGTTAAACACGCGTGATGAACACAACACTTTTCAAAATACATGCAATAAGCTTTCCAATCTCACATAGTGAGTTCATTGCATGAATTTTGTTGTACAATTTCTGCTGGTTTTCCCCCCTAATAGCCATTCTTACTGAGACTAAACAGTGAATTTATGTACGTCCATAAAATACTATATCCACATTCAGTGAAAATCGATGGAAAATACGTGAAAATCTCAGGAGATGAAATGACGTCTGAAACATCAAACTAGTTGTCGGGTTTTGATTGTCGATGTGAACAATTTGGCTTGCCTTGAAATTGCTTTGTCTTCAATAACAACAATTCATATGACTATAACGTACCACTGTACTAGTTACGTTTTTCAATATTTATATTATATTCAAATGAAAAATAGGAATTTGAAAAGCTTCAAAGACGCACAAGGTGATCAAATAAAGCAAAGCTTTGCGAGAAAATAGATTTGCTTTTTTATGTTGAGCCATGCTGTTTTTCAACAAAAGCTATTTTTACCAAACCTGTCGGAGCTCAAAAGATGGCGCGCTTCCATTTTAACACCTCCTTTAGTGCTTTAGCCTTAAAGATCTGTTTGTAATTTACCGAAAGCATTTCTGACAACAGAAATTCAAACCGATTGTAATCGAAAATGAAAAGTATAGAAATCAAAGCAAAGTGACTTATCATATTCGTAGGGTATTTGAGTGAGTGTCTCATAAAATAATTTACATATTGTACTTGTGTATAACATTTCAACTTGCTTTCTTGCAAATCATACGATGATGGTGATTGTACTTCTATGAAATTATTACTATCCTGATATTGTCTTACGTTTGAACAGCGTTGAGACCAGCAGCTTTTATCTTCATTAATCTATCTTTCCAATACATTCGCGGCACTCGAAAATAATGTATGCCACCTGAAATGTATCGAAATGGTTTGCCATCCTTCAAGAAACAGTTCTTCTCGTAATCAATTGTGAACGATCTACCAAGAGCGGACTCAAATATCATAAATGACAAATAAACGAAAAAGAGCATCTTGCAAGTTGTTCTTATAAGCATTTGGGTTAAAATAAAGTCAAAGTGATCAACAACAAACTAGCTACGTACGAAAATAATTGGAAAATGAAAAGAGCTCAAATTTCAAAATAATGACAAATTGGATTAATATTCACATATTAGCTATAATTCTTTGGAATGAAAATAAATCTTTTGTAGCCATTCGGGCTTTTTGTGTTGAGAATACTGAAAAACAAGGTTTTGTATTCCAAACTTATGAAAAGCCAAATATTATTCAAATTGCAAGATTAAATGTAACTTTATTTTTTGTTCCTCGATTTATAAATGTACCATTCAGGGGGCTATAATTGATTACTACTCCACGACAATATTCCCATCATTATACAATGTTCCTCTAAGAGAGTATCAAATTGAATGTTTAATAAAAACATTAATCACAAACGCTGTGTTAAAGCAGGGGTTTAAAAGTTTCAGCTATAGTTCTTGTTATATAAATTTACATTAGAATTGCTTGTACAATACTGTACCATTTAAAATTGGTTTAGTTACCATTTCAACATAACAATTCTTAGGTTCTGCACAAGGAGCTCCATCCAGTTCTAATACAATCAGAATATTTTTATCCTTTTTAAAAGCACTAGCTGGAACATATAAGGTGATTTGAGGACCCTCAACAGGCCAATAACGACCCAAGTTAAAACCATTCAGAAACACTTGACCCTTAACAAAAATGTAATAAAAAAATTACTTTTAAATCATTCTACGATACTGAGAATAAAATCAGTGTGATTCTGTAAATACTTTCATCGACCTAATCGCATGAACAAAAACAAACTCAAAATGTAAAACTACCTTTTCCCATCCATGTAGTGACAAATACGTATCTTGTGGAGATAATCCTTCAGGCATCGACGGAACAATACCCTTGAAGAAAGCTGGAACTTGATTTTTTGTACCAAATAAGTCATTCTTCGGTTCATGATATACATCTGGCGGGTCTTTCACGTGAATAACAGTCCAGTTTGTAAGTATAACTCCATCAAATGTAACATTGCTAATCAAACCTTTAGGGTCGTTCATGTGACCATAATTAATGCGTCCTTGATTTTCAATTATAATTTCAAGCACACTGTTTTTAACGACTTCGATTTCCAAACATTTTTCTTGTCATTTCGATCAACTACACCTTGTTTTACCTGAAATGGAGCATGAATACATCGTCAATATAAATACTTCATTGCTAGCCAGTGAAAGAAATCGTCAAATCGTTTTATAATTTTGAATCCATTAGATAAGATGTATATTTGTATATTTCAGAATCCATTGAAAAAGATTCAAGCATTAAATGCAAAATTACTAAAATAAAATACAATGCTTTGGAACAGACTCTTTTTGTAACACTCTGTTTACTGTAGTTCCGTAAAGATGGGACGATTTTTAGAAAAAGTTAGAGAGTTACATTAAAACTGAAAACAGATTACAAATATAAATTCAAAAATATGAAATATAAAACAAATGAATGACCAAGATGAAATTCGCATCGTTGTATTTAGAGTTGTTTCGTTCTCAAGGCTGTGCAAGGCTAACTGTTGTTTTCTTTAAAAACTATTCAAAGTAAGTTTCAGTATTTTTTCAAAATTACCATTCCCCACATACCTTATCAATAAAGACTATAGCCCTGTCTCTTACACCAGGCATGTTAAGAATATGCTTTAGTTGACTTTGCTTTGCCGATATCACAATATTTGTCATATAAATAGCAAATCCATAGTACATGTTCATTTGTTCCATTGTTTTGGGATATTTCGACTTCACTGTCTTGGAATTTTGTGATGAAACAATCTACAATTCATACAATCATGACGTTAGTTAACTTGACAAAAAATAAAGAAAACTAGACATAAATAACCTTGGTCATTTGTATTTTTCCATATGCATACTTTGGTGTAGGTGGTGGTATGGGAATTTTTGGATCCGGCAAATATTTAGTGACAATTTTCTTAATGGCACCATATTTTTTATTGCTAACTCCAGGATCTCCAGCTTCAGATAATGGTGCATCATAATCATAACTGGTTGTCACTGGTAGGTAGACAGAACCAGTGAAGGTCGCTCCTAGGCAACAATGATATCAACATACATCACATATTGAAATATCAATTAAGGTGCATAAATGATAAACTGTATTAACTGCTTCTCAGTTAAGATTTACATATTACATAGCGTTCAAATGAACCATAAACAATATTTCCCTAAGATCCTTTGCAGAAATTATAATAAAATAAGATGGAAGAGGAGGGGCGGGGGCGTTAAGAATTATTTTCAAATACTTTGGCATGAATAAAAGTATATAAATATCTAAAGATATTTTATTGGTCTGTAGAAATTCCTACCATTCATATATCCAAAATTTGTGCCTCCTTCAAACATATACATGTTTACGGAAGCATTCATTGCCAATATTTGGTCCAGTTTAGCAGCCGTTAAAGTGGGATCAGTGGTTTGGTGCTGCTTGCTCCATAAGTCCAGCCATCCAGTATAATATTCAGAATTGACCAAAGGACCACGGGCTTGAAATTTTCTCTGAATGGCAAACGCTTTCTCGGGATCGGTTCCTAAATAATCACTTTATGTCAATTGTTGTTGATGAAAAGTTAAAACTGCTTTTACTTACTAAACTGCAATAACGTATCAACAACAATAAGCTTTGCAATGTTTCTCGCAAACAAAGAAAATGTCTATGCAATAAAAAACATAAAGCTTTTTTCACAAGATTTTTCGCCACGCAATCTCGTTGCTCAAACTCGAAGCTAACTAAGCAAAGAAATTTACTTTGTTAAAAACATTTAAAGAGGAATTTTAATGAAACAAGTAAAAACTTCGATCTTTCTATCATGAAATTATCAATGGACTTAAAATGGATAGCACTATAATTGGTACTTTGATGCTTTGTAAAGTATTATTCTTCATAATAATTATAATATTGGTTGATGCATTAGACCTGGTCCAAAATCAACTGTGCTGAAGAGAGTGGGCAAAGTTCCACATTTAAGAAGACTTTCGGCATCGCCATCTGTTGTAAATAGAATCACATCTTTTCCAAGATATTCCTCCATTAATCTTTGTAAAAACTCCAAGTATTTCGCATCGCAGGTAAAGTAACTTCCGTACTCATTTTCAACCTACAACATTGTAACAATCATGGTAAATACCAACTGAAGACGTGTGATTCTTAAAGAGCGCATAAAAGCGATCATTTGGGACGGCTGATGACCAATTTTAATAAAAATAATCTTGAGTGACAATGAAACATGTACTGACACAAATTATCAATATGGGTAATGCACCTGCGCTGAAATGATTGGTCCACCATTTGAATATAGATATGGACGTAACATTGGCAAAAGAACTTTAAACCAAGATGTGACTGCTGAGGTATAAACTATGTATACAAGATAAATGTAAAATAACATGTCAGATCCTTCTTTCAAACTTATGTCAAGGCTGCCATGACCGAATATTGACCTTTTTATAAAATAATTACAAATTGCTGCTGAAATGATAAACAGAAATTAACCTGGATCCTTCGAGGAACGCAAAATTATGGAGGCATTCTTCAACAACCAAGGAGGAAAGCCACCCTAAATTTCATAAAAACAGTAGCTATATAATGCTGTCTTAACAAGACAACATACACCAAACTACGCCCCCTCTCTGTCTGTACTGTAATGAAGCAAATCGATCAGTCAGTTTTAATAAAAGACTGAACATACGTTACATTAAACCGTCCAAACGAATAAAGACGAAAATAAATAGAAATAAGAATGCACTTACAAATTCCCATTCTGCACAAATATAAGGACCTGAAAAGTAATAATTCGTGTTTTCAATTCTGGAAATACATGGAAAAGTACATTTGCATTAATCAAGTAAAGATAATATATTTATGATCGTCGTCCCTCGCAATCAAAGGACAAAATTTTTATGTGTTTTATAAATATAGTCCAACCTGGTCGAAGAATCAGCAAGAGTCCTGTTTCCTGAACAAGTTTTATAAAACTAAGAACATCTGCTTCCCCCTCAAAGTTATAAACACCTGGTTCTGGTTCATGAATATTCCAGGGAATGTATCTAACAAATATTGAATTAAAAAATTGAGTTTTGGACAAAAGTGCCATAAAAACCGCAAGACTTTTGTACACCTAGAAAGATCGTGCATAATATCTATTTCAAATTTCCATACCAATAATAAATTCTGGTTATGACAGGATTGCTCCGCAAGGTAAACGAGCGAACTTCAAGTTTTATGTATGCATGCAAGAAGACGATATAATTTTAATTTCATGTGAATATCTTTATCGTTTATCCGTGATACACTTTATGTTTTTTCTCTCCCCACCCCCTTTAGATTCTTAAGGTTCAAAATGTCCTGGGCCTGTTCTTATCGTGCAATCTTTTCTGTTATATAAATTACCGTTATTCTCCTATTCGACCTTATTTGTGCATGTTAAACACGCGTGATGAACACAACACTTTTCAAAATACATGCAATAAGCTTTCCAATCTCACATAGTGAGTTCAATGCAGGAATTTTATTGTACAATTTCTGCTGGTTTCCCCCCCTAATAGCCATTCTTACTGAGACTAAACAGTGAATTTATGTACGTCCATAAAATACTATATCCACATTCAGTGAAAATCGCTGGAAAATACGTGAAAATCTCTAAAAGATGAAATGACGTCTGAAACATCAAACTAATTGTCAGGTTTTGATTGTTCATGTGAACAATTTGGCTTGCCTTGAAATTGCTTTGTCTTCAATAACAACAATTCATATGACTATAAAGTACCACTGTACTAGTTACGTTTTTCAATATTTATATTATATTCAAATGAAAAATAGGAATTTGAAAAGCTTCAAAGACGCACAAGGTGATCAAATAAAGCAAAGCTTTGCGAGAAAATAGATTTGCTTTTTGTTGAGCCATGCTGTTTTTCAACAAAAAGCTATTTTTACCAAATCTGTAGGAGCTCGCAAGATGGCTCGCTTCCATTTTAACACTTCCTTTAGTGCTTTAGCCTTAAAGATCTGTTTATAATTTACCGAAAA